GCTTAGAGGAACCGGGGGGGAGGCGGGGGCGGCCGAAGGATGCCCCCACGAGCCCCGGGAACAGCCAGGAAGCGGACTGTGCATGCTGCGGCAGAGGAGCCCAGAGGCGGGAGATAGGCAGCGGCTGCGGGAGTGAGGAGCAGTGACCCTTGAAGTGTCGCCAGCCCCTAGCGCAATCGCAAGCACGTTGATTTGTTGACTGAACCGGGAGCGCACACCCATGCGCTCGCGCCCGCTGTGCGCGCATCACTGATTGTCGCACCTCAGCAGGCGGAACGGCACCCCCTCGTAGTAGCGAACAACGAGAAAAACGCCGCAGTGCCATGCCCATAACGCCAGCAGACTGGCGAGGCAGCGGATTTTAAAAAGCGGCGCATGTTCAAGTGCATTCACATAAGCATCGGCAAGCGCATGTGCATGTGCACGGGCATGAACGCGTGACATGACGACATGCGGAGCAAGCATGCTGGACAGAATTGACATGGGCAAACTTGGGGCGACCGCTACATGCAAGCGGTGCGTGGTGGCGGAGGCGGCCGCGGCGCCCTCACCCGTACCGCCGCCCCGCCAACAGTTGAGTCAGGGCGTAACTGGCACAACAGAGGCCGAGCACGAAAGAGAGACAGGCACCGTGCAGGACGCCTGATGGGGGCGAGGAGGGGGTCAACAAGGGCATGCGGGCGCACACGCATGTGAAAGTGCGCACGGCTACACCACACTAGTGGGCAGTCAGCCGGCCCCAGCCTCAGCCGCGTCGGTGCGAGGGTAGCGGCGGGCCGTGACGAAGCACAGGGCACCGTTGGTTGGCTGGAAGCAGCACACTGTATGCCTTGTGGCGAGGCGGCCATGTGACCATCGGCTGTGCCGACGCGTGAGCTGCGTATTCAGGACGAATTTATGCAGAGGCGCTGCGGGGTCGCACCAAGGAATATGAAAGAGAATGCCAGGTAGAAAGGGACCCTCAGCTGCGGCGCAAACGCTTGCACCTGGGACCAAAACGCAGGTGTTGGCGGCCAGGAGGCGACGAGCTCGGCTTCAGGACGAATCTGGTGACCGGAGTCTTGGCTGCGAGACGCTGGCAATCGCTTGCGTGCGCTGTGCACAAGGCATCGCACGCCCCGCCAGCTGGCCTCGGTAGCACGGCGTCCCTAGCAGGCGCGCTCCCAAGCAGACAGCGGCTGCGGCCGCAGCCCGCACCCAAGCGCGGGCGCGCCTGCGCCGGCGATTTGGGTGCTTACCGACCGCGAAAGCGCCACAAAGCCTGTGAATATTGCCACCAGCAGCCCCATGGAGCCTCGGAAGTCGCGCCACTGCGGGTCTGACAAATCCACCCTGAGGCCGAACCAGCTAGGGCGCAGGCCGGGGACGGCGACGCCGCGCGCCTCCAGGCGGCGGCAGAACGCCCAGCCCTCATAGATCAATACTGATAAGAAGTAGAGGACTAGCTGCGGAGGTGCGTGGGGCGTTGCACAGGCTCGTGCCTGTTGCTTCAGGCAGGCCGGACAAAGGGCGGGAGGGGCACCCAGCACACGCAGCAAGCAGTGTCAAACGCAGCGACGAGTCCATGCGCGCACACCACGCACCAGCAGATAGGCCAGCAGCTCTACATAGCTGAGTACCGTCTTTCTTTGCATATCCAGGTGGGCGGCTTTCCCCTTCACAGCCTTCATGCGATCAGATTGATCACCGAGATCACATCTGTTGACAGCTTTGACCTGTTCACGTTAGTGTCTCTATTTTAAGTTCTTGAAATTTAGTATTGGTTCTGGCTAATTGAGTTTGCGTTGATTCGGTGCTGCAGTGACGTCCTCCGTCATTTCCCAGGACGCTGCGTGGAAACCCAATGCGGACTCTTTGTCAAGCTGAATGAATGCAGCAGCGTTCGGCCAACATCGCGGCGAGGCCGCTCACAGGCCTTGCAGCACCGTCGCCGCCGCTCGTGCTGCGAGCAGCGCGCTCGCCGCAGCCTGCCGCCCTGCCCGCCACTACCGGGCAGCTGCCCAGCGGCCCCACGGACGTGGCCCCTGACGTCCTGTTGAGCCTCCAAGATGAGCGAACACGCAGCGGTCGGGAGGCGTCCACCAGCGGCCGACCAGGGGCCGACGCGCCAGGCAGCACCCGCACTGACGGCGCGCTCGCAATCGTGCCGCGCACGCGCGCCCGCGCCGCGCGCGCGCTCGGCGCCCCTGGCTACCTGCCCGGCGCGGGGGCAGCGCCGACGGCAGCTGCAGAGGGCGGCAGCGCGCCTGGTGGCGCGCCCGGCGTAGCGGCGGGCGGCGCGGCGGGCGCTTTGGTGCAGCATGTGGTCGACGGCCTGACGCAAGCGCCGTGGGCGGACGACGCGCTGAGGGCAGAGGTGGGTGATGCGCCCCTGGAAGCAGGAGCGCCAGCCATGCAATGGGAGTGCTGCGCGCCATCTTGCAAAGCCAGGCACCCACGGGTCGCCTGGGTCGGGTGCCAGCTTTATCTGCAGCATGGGGCGCAGCGCACGCAGCAGGCCTGGGCGGGCTCCTGCCAGGGGGCGACTGTCGAGATTGTGAACCCACACTTATGCGTTGACCACCGCTTGCCAGGTTGCCGAGGCAAGGGCCAAGGGCCAGCGCTGCGCCGCGCGCCCCGACCCGCCGGCTGCGCTGTCCGACTGGCTGCAGCGCGCCTCCGTGTCACGCCACTGGCTCGCCATCGCTGCGGCGGCCGCGGAGGCGGGCGGCGGTGTGGCGGCGCTGCGCGTGGATGCACTGGAGAAACTCATCCACGCGCTAGCAGGCGACGGGGAGGGGGAGGGCTCGGAAGGGCCCAGCAGAGCCCTCGGCCCCAAGCAACCGCAGGCAGCCCGCGGCGCGCGCGGCGAGGCTGGTAGCGAGGCGCTGGCGGCGGCCCGCTCTGCGGTCGCCCGAGCGGCCTGCGAGCGGCTGGAGGATTTGCTGCAGCAGGGCGCGGCGGGCGCGGGCCCGGCGCCGTTGGGCGTGGAGCGCGCCGCGTGCGTGCTCGCATCCCTTGCC